GCGGTTTTAAGTTTTGTTTCTGTGAGATTTGAACAAAACTGAATTAAACACATTATAATGTCAAACGGGCTGATGTGGCTCTAGAGTCGTTATGTTTATATGTCATAAAGTTGAATTTATTTATGCAGATTAGTAGTGCAGATAGTAATAATAATGATGATCATTTTAATATAAAAACGTTAATGATTAATCGATAATCGATCGTTAATTCTTCCGACGATCGATTAAGAAAAATTTCATCGAATGCCCATCTACATATATATATATATATATATATATATATATATATTATATATATATGTTTTTTTTTTATCTTTCTGTCTACTGATGACTAGTCTGATGCTGATATAGTCTTAATTTTTAGTCTTGTTTATGATATAATTTGGTGTTTTGGTTCAAGTCTATTCTCCAATCAGAGCTGAGAGAGGATAGAGAGAATGAGAAAGAGCGAAAGAGTGAGGGAGAGAAGAGCTGAGGCCAGTCAGAGGGGACGGAGAGGAGGAGGAGAGAGAGAGAGAGAGAGAGAGGAGAGAGAAAGGAAGGAGGAGAGGAGGATAGAGTGATAAAGCCTCATGCAAGTCAGAGGGGACAGAGAAAGAAAGAGAGAAAGAGAGAGGGAGGAGGAGGAGGAGAGGATGAAGAGAGGAGGAGGAGGATAGAGTGATAGAGGCTCACACAGTCAGAGGGGACGGAGAAAGAGTTTCTAAAAATAGCTGTGTGTTTGACGTGGAGCAGGAAGTGTTCCGTCAGCCCACAGCCGCACACTGTAAAAACAACTCTGCATCATTACACCAAATATAACACCACCAGTGATAAAGTCACACTACGGAACTTTGATACAAGAGGCCTGACATCTGCCCGTCGCTATGGAGATGATCAAGTTTTACCTGCACTTCCACTGTATGATATTTAACTTACTGTAGTCCTAGTTTAGTCCTGGTTTAATTCTGGTTTAGTCGTGTTGTAGTCCTGGTTCAGTCCTGGTTTAGTCCTGGTGTAGTCCTGGTTTAGTCCTGGTTTAGTCCTGGTTTAGTCCTGGTTTAGTCCTGGTTTAGTCCTGGTTCAGTCCTGGTTTAGTCCTGGTTTAGTCCTGGTTTAGTCCTGGTTTAGTCCTGGTGTAGTCCTGGTTTAGTCCTAGTTTTGTCTTGGTTCAGTCCTGGTTTAGTCCTGGTGTAGTCCTGGTTTAGTCCTGGTGTAGTCCTGGTTTAGTCCTGGTGTAGTCCTGGTTTAGTCCTAGTTTTGTCTTGGTTCAGTCCTGGTGTAGTCCTGGTTTAGTCCTGGTGTAGTCCTGGTTTAGTCCTGGTGTAGTCCTGGTTTAGTCCTAGTTTTGTCTTGGTTCAGTCCTGGTTTAGTCCTGGTGTAGTCCTGGTTTAGTCCTGGTGTAGTCCTGGTGTAGTCCTGGTGTAGTCCTGGTTTAGTCCTGGTGTAGTCCTGGTTTAATCTTGATGTAGTCCTGGTGTAGTCCTGATTTAGTCCTGGTGTAGTCCTGGTTTAGTCCTGGTGTAGTCCTGGTTTAGTCCTGGTTTTGTCTTGGTTCAGTCCTGGTTTAGTCCTGGTTTAATCTTGATGTAGTCCTGGTTTAGTCCTGGTGTAGTCCTGGTGTAGTCCTGGTGTAGTCCTGGTTTAGTCCTGGTTTAGTCCTAGTTTTGTCTTAGTTCAGTCCTGGTGTAGTCCTGGTGTAGTCCTGGTTTAGTCCTGGTGTAGTCCTGGTGTAGTCCTGGTTTAGTCCTGGTTTAGTCCTGGTTTAGTCCTGGTTTAGTCCTGGTTTAGTCCTGGTTTAGTCCTGGTTTTGTCTTGGTTCAGTCCTGGTTTAGTCCTGGTGTAGTCCTGGTGTAGTCCTGGTGTAGTCCTGGTGTAGTCCTGGTTTAGTCCTGGTTTAGTCCTGGTATAGTCCTGGTGTAGTCCTGGTTTAGTCCTGGTTTGGATTCAGTTTCATGTTTTACAGCGCTCGTCTTCCTCCGTCCACTTCAGTGCGTTTGGTCCTTTGGCCCCGGGGCCCGGTTTTGTTTGAGGGACAATCCTCCCATCAGAACCTTTCAACACAGAGAGAAAGACGAGAAGAGAGAGAAGAGAAAGAGACGAGAGGAGAGGAGAGGAGAGGAGGAGGAAGAGGAGGAGGAAGAGGAGGAGGGGATGGAGAGAGGAGGGAGAGGAGGGAATAGAGAGTGAGAGAAGAGCTGGAGGAGAGAGAGAGGATGAAGAAGGGGGGAGAAGAGAGGGAGAAGAGGAGGAGAGAAGGAATGAAGGAGGAGGAGGATGAAGAGGATTGAGAGAAGGTGGACAGGATAGAAAAGAGAATGAGAGAAGAGCGGGAGGAAAGCAGAGGAAAAGGACAGAGGAGAGAAAGAGAGATTTGAGGTATGGAGAGAAAGAGGAGAGAGAGATGAGACTATGTAAAGAGAGAGACGGAGGTATGGAGAGAGAGAGAGAGAGAGAGAGAGATGGGAGGTATGGAGAGAGAGAGAGAGAGATGAGACTATGTAAAGAGAGAGACGGAGGTATGGAGAGAGAGAGAGAGAGAGAGAGAGATGGAGGTATGGAGAGAGAGAGAGATGAGACTTTGTAGAGAGAAAAAGAGAGAGACAGAGAGAGAGAGATGAAGGTAGTTAGAGAGAGAGATGAGACTATGTAGAGAGAGAGATGGAGGTATGGAGAGAGAGAGAGAGATGAGACTATGTAGAGAGAGAGATGGGGTATGTAGCGAGAGAGTGAGGGAGAAAGAGAGAGATGGAGGAGGTATGTATAGAGAGAAAGAGAGCGAGAGAAATAGATGGGGTATGTATAGAGAGAGAGGGGGGAGAGAGAGAAAGAGAGAGAGAAATAGATGATGTTTGTAGAGACAGAGAGAGAGATCAAAACTCAACTTGTTTTTTTTTTTTTACATAAATCACCATTTGGTTCATTATGGTGTATTAATGAATATCGATGTAACGACATTTAAATCTCACTGTTCGATATTTTCACGATATTTATTGACATACAATATTTTTTGGACACAAACAAAACTATAAATACAACACTTTTTCCTCTAAAAATGCCTTTGACAAAATTTCAATCCCACAATCCAAAGAACTACAATTAAAAAGTGTTAGAACTGTTATTACTTCTTATAATCTGCACTAAACGGAGCAAAGCATCATGGTCTATGTAGTCCCCTCTGTCTTTTAACTATTTCTGCTCCATAACTCTTCGTTTATTAATCGCAGAGACTTGTAATTCGATTTATTGTGACGGTACAAGGTGTTATTTATTATTATTATTGTTGTTGCTGATTGTTGTTTTCCCGTCTGACCCTGAAGGCGGCGCGGGGCCTTCACACGCCGCGCTCTCTCCGGAGGCCTGACCCGTTTTCCGAGCGCGTCTTAAGCTCCGCCCACCGCTCCATTAGACGTACTCCGGGACCTCGCCAACTCCTGATGAATACTTTAAGAGCAGAGTACGCACAGCTGGGGGCGGGGGGGGGGACGAGGAGCGAGGGATGAGGGGGAGCGAGGATGAGGGGGGAGGGGCTAACCTTGACACACATCTACGGTCTTTAGGGAGACAAAAAAAAGGGGGAAAAAAAAAAAAAAACGAAATGAAATGAATACACTACAATATATACGTGTGTCTGTACAATGAAAAGGAATTATACGTGCAGTGTGTAACTTTTTTAAGCTGGTTGTTTCCACGGAGATGTCATTTCTCTGTCCGGAATGTTCCGCAGTGTGACTTTAAACAGCTCTACTTTACATTTATTCGATTACAGGTGGTTTTATAGCTCAAAAATACCTAGAAAAACATTCTGACTCCACAGATCTGACCTGTAACTTGGTCTGGTGTGGTCTCCATGAAGATAGAAAAACTTAATATCAAAGTAAAAATAAAAATAAACATCAAGGTAAAATAAAATTAAATATAAATGTAAAAATTTAAATAAACACTAAGGTAAAAATAAAATTAAATCTCAAGGTAAAAATAAAAATACATATCAAAGTAAAAAATATCAATAAAAAAAAAAATAAAACCAAAGTAAAAATAAAAATAAATATCAAGTAAAAATAAAATAAAATATCAAGGTAAAAAATAAAATAAAAACCAAGGTAAAAATAAAAATAAATATCAATGTAAAAATAAGAATAAATATCAAGTTAAAAATAAAAATAAATATCAAGGTAAAAATAAAATTAAATATCAAGGTAAAAATAAAAATAAAAATATCAAGGTAAAAATAAGAATAAATATCAAGTTAAAAATAAAACTAAACACCAAGGTAAAAATAAAATTAAATATCAAGGTAAAAATAAAAATAAACACCGAGGTAAAAGTAAAAGTAAATATCAAGGTAAAAATAAAAATAAACATCAAGTTTAAATATCAAAGTAAAAATAAAAAATAAACATCAAGGTAAAATAAAATTAAATATAAATGTAAAAATTTAAATAAACACTAAGGTAAAAATAAAATTAAATATCAAGGTAAAAATAAAAATAAAAACCAAGGTAAAAATAAAAATAAATATCAAGGTAAAAATAAGAATAAATATCAAGTTAAAAATAAAAATAAATATCAAGGTAAAAATAAAATTAAATATCAAGGTAAAAATAAAAATAAATATCAAGGTAAAAATAAGAATAAATATCAAGTTAAAAATAAAACTAAACACCAAGGTAAAAATAAAATTAAATATCAAGGTAAAAATAAAAATAAACATCAAGTTTAAATATCAAGGTAAAAATAAAAATAAACACCAAGGTAAAAGTAAAAGTAAACATCAAGATAAAAGTAAAATTAAATATCAAGTTAAAAATAAAATAAATATCAAGGGTAAAATTAAATTAAATATCAAGGTAAAAATAAAAATAAATATTAAGGTAAAAATAAAACTAAATATCAAGGTAAAAATTTACATAAACATCAAGGTAAATATAAAAATTAAATATCAAGGCAAAAACAAAACTATATAAACGACACAGCAACAGCAGGATTGGTTGTGATGGGTTTGCTCTGGTGTGTTTCAGGTCTGGTGAAGCTGGGCGTGCACTGTGTGACCAATCAGAAAGTGGCCATAAAGATCGTGAACAGAGAGAAGCTGAGTGAGTCCGTGCTCATGAAGGTAAGAAACCAAACTTTATTTACACAAGTGATTTTCAAACATGCTGAAACTATAGACGCATCAAGAATCTCGGACTTCCGGTCATTGCGCAATTCATACTGGGAAGGATTTTCCAAAAAAGTGAGCATCAAACCTCCATGTTTGTTTTCCCAGTGGGATGCGTCTATTGACAAAGTCGATCTTTTCAAGTCTTTTGAACCATATCACTTTTGTTTCTGGTTCTAATTTTGTCATATTTTAATTTTGGGATTCGGACGTCGTAATTGTTGTGGTTGTCGGATGTTCTAACAGCGGAAAACGGCTCGAGAAATTTGTTTGCGAACTCCATAAATGAAAAAGTGAATCAGATGTGTGTGACTGTAAATCTCTGTTCAAACTGTTTCTCTTCCCACCGGAATTGAAAAATAGTGAAAGGTGAAGGTGATGGGCAGGATTGATCCACAGGAAGAACCAAAAAGGAAACATTTGACTGACTAAATCATCCCGAGTTTGCAGAGAACATTTTATATGTGGAGCGACATCAAAACAAAATCCCATTTGTTAATGAAGAGGAGCAGAAGACAAACAGACTGAGCTGCACTTTCTTGTTCTTGTGGTTTTACAGCAACATCACGTCTTGGTCTCTTTGCAGTGGAAGGTGTTTCTTGGTGAACAGTTGGTGACTTTTGCTTTGGCGTTGACTTTTTAAATTCGTAACTGAGGTTGAGTGAGGGATCGGGATTTTGCTTTGTTGTCGCTCCACATACAAAATGTTCGCTGCAAACTTGATCATTTAGTCAGTCAAATGTTTCCTTTTTGGTTCTTCCTGTGGATCAATCCTGCCCATCACCTTCACCTTTCACTATTTTTCAATTCCGTTGGGAAGAGAAACAGTTTGAACAGAGGTTTACAGTCACACACATCTGATTCACTTTTGCATTTATGGAGTTCGCAAACAAATTTCTCGAGCCGTTTTCCGCTGTTAGGATCCAACAACCACACAATTAACGATGTCCAAATCCCAAAACTAAAATATGACAATATCAGAACCAGAAACAAAAGTGAAATGGTTCAAAAGACTTGAAAAGATCGACTTTGTCAATAGACGCATCCCACTGGGAAAACAAACATGGCAGTTTGATGCTCACTTTATCAGAAAATCCTTTCGCAGTATGAATTGCGTGATGACGGGAAGTCTGAGATTCTTGATGCGTGTATATAGAACTATAATCAAATCTGAAGGTGAACCCAAGATACGTTTTGTTTTCAGTGGTCAGTGTTCATCGGCGCATGGACCCAAATATAAATTTTCTCTTCCACATTTACTTGCACGGCGTGGAGCGTTCGGACCAATCAGAGCGAGAGCTGGAGCGGGCCGACGTTAAGTCTTACCAAGATCACTTTTAGGGACTTAGGATTTGAAAAGTTTACGTTGTGAAAATAGAAAAGAATCTTACAAAATCCGACCTTCGTGAAAGTTGTCGATGCGCTCTCAGCCGAACACGAACAATTTAAATCACCAAAAAAATCTTGCTGCCGCGAGCTGCAGTACCTGGAGCGGCCACTAGTCGGTCTCGAGTCGGGACAAAGGGGGAGGGGCTTATCCAGTTTTTATATTAGATCCATGTTATTATTTTTCAAACTGACCGACTTCCTGGTTCTTGGGCGATAAAAAAATAAAATAAAATCTTGATAATTTTTTTTTTTTTTTTTTTGAACTTTAGTTTATTAAGATAAACATTTAGAACAATCCTTGACAGAGGGTTATTATATTAGTTATTATTCAGGTACACAGTCACCGGAGTCCATGGTTCATTTTCATCTGAAGTTTGGCTCTTAGCTGTTCCATGATACAGACTTGTTTCAGTCTCTATCCATTCTGTCCTTGTTGGAGGGGACGGTTTCCTCCAGTTAACAGTTATCATTTTTCGTGCAATCATCAGAAGAATACGAAGAACATATTTTTGATCGTTTACACATACATTATCTGTACAGTGCTCCTAATACATAAATCAGCGGGTCCATAGAGACTTCACAAGACAGTATCTTTTCTATTTCTATTTTAATGTCCCGCCAATAATGACTAAGAACGGGGCAATCCCAGAAGACACGTGAGTGATCCGCCACCATGCCACAATTTCTCCAACATAATGGAGGCATGGTTTTGTAGAAAGTTGAAATGATTAAAGGGGTCCTAAAGTATCTAATTTTTGTCTTCCAATCAAATTTCTCCCACAGATTATTGTTGACACCTTTGTGGCTGATCACACACACACATCCCTCCACGTCCCGTCCTCAATAACCACATTTAACTCCAATTCCCATTTATCTCTGATATCCAGTGTATGTTCTCCCTTATCTCCCATCAACATCTTGTATATTCATGATACATGTTTCTCGGTCAGCAGATGTTTTTCTTGTATTGTTATAAAGTATTGCTCGATACCTGTAGGTTCTGCTTTAATTTTTTCCCATTCAGCCTGATTTTGAATGTAGAGCCTTATTTGTAAATAACAAAAATGATCTGTTGAGGGTAGGGGTGGGCGATATATCGATATTTTAAATATATCGAGATAGTTTTTAAACTCGATATGAATTCTGACATATCGTATATATCGATATAATGCTTATATTCAATTCTGATTTCGCCGCTTCGCTTGTTTATCTTCTCTCTCGTCGCCTCCGCGCCCCCGCCTCCCTGATTTTGTTCGCTCGCGTCTCCTTCACTCCTCACTATCGCCGAAAGTTGGTGCCAGTGAAAAGCTTCAAGCACCACGAACCTTTTCCACCATTTACAGACAAAACCATCAGCAGCACATCCTCATGTTCCACCGAGTCGCGTCCTTTAGCCCGAAAGAAGCTAAACGAGCTGAGCTGCATGAGAAGTGCTGTTTATGCAAATGAGCCATGTGCTTAAGTTTCGTTTCTGTAAAATGTAAACACACGTGCGCAAAACTGCATTAAACACATTATTATCTCACATGGGCTGATGTGGCTCTAGAGTCGTTATGTTTTATATATTGTAAAGTTTAGCAATGTAAAGTTTATTTATGCAGAAGATTTTTAATGAATAATCTGCTGCAGTGTCACTTGTACAATAGTGTTTGGAATCGTTGGGTTTGATCTGCAGTGGATTGTGGGATTAAACCTCAGAGCTCCTCACTGCTGGAACATGGATCTATTAAAATAAGGAACATCCTGAGCTTCTTCTGCTAAAGGAGCTCCTGGTCATGGTTCTGGTTTGGATAACAGAGTTAATGCAAAGATGAGCTTGTGTTGAGTTGTTTTATTTATGAATGAAAAGAAGGAAATATGTATTATTTATTTTATTTTACAGTTAAATTATTATTTATGTAATTAGGGTTTTTTGTAATCTTAAATGTTCCTATATGAACTGTCGACCTCTTACACTTTCATTTAAAAAAAAAAAAAAGGACCTTGTGGAATTTGGCAGATTTGTTTTTGCAGTTTTCAGTTTTAGGGGGTTATTTTTTCTTGAACATATATCGAGATATATATCGTATATCGAGATATAGCAAAATATATCGAGATATATTTTTTGATCCATATCGCCCAGCCCTAGTTGAGGGTAATGAAAACTGTTTTTGTATTTGAGAAAAGGATTTTAGGTTATTGCCCTCAAAAAGCTGGTTAAAGGTCCTTAGGCCAGTACTCATCCACCTTTTGAACCCACTGTCCCACATAGATGGTTGTTAGTCTGTGTTCCCAGCTATCGGCGTGGCTCTTGTAAGACAAGTTGTACCACCAAGTTTTTTTCTCACACAGTTCCATATACGTAAAGTGTGTTTGATCCACACATTTTTCAGCTTAAGTTTTTTTTCCAGAGTGTTTCACTTTGAAATGGCAACACAGATAAGCCAACTCCTGGTTTAGAATTTGGTTCTATTTGGACCCATCCCACCTCCCGGTCATTGTAAATCCACTGTGTTATGGCAGCCAGTTGAGCAGCCCAGTAGTAGTATTTAAAGTTCGGGAGAAAATCTTGATAATTTGATGTAAAACTGGGGCAAAACAGAAATTTTCTCTGGTGAGTTTGAAGCGAATGTGTAAATTCTAGTTTCATCTTCAGCAGCTGTTGTTCTTAAACAGACTCATTGAATATTCAAATGAGACGAACAAGAGAAAGAGATGGTGGGAATTTGAGGGAGGGAAGGAGGGAGGGAATGTGTGTGTGAGAGAGAGAAAAGGCTTAGGGAAGGATGAAGGAAGAGAAGAGAGAGAGAGAGAGGAATTAAGAAAATCTCTTCATGAATGATATGGTGTGAATTTGTCAGACAGAAGAGAGAGAGAGAGAGAGGGAAGGAGGGAGAGGGGGGAAAAAAAGAAGAGAGAGAAAGAGAAAGGGAGACTGGAGACAGAGTGAGAGGAGGGACTGAAGGGGAGAGGAGGGAGAGAGGACAGAGAGAAAGAGAGAAAAGAGAGGACAGGAGGGAGAGAGAGAGAAACAGAAGAAAGAGAGAGCGTAAGGGGAGAGAGAGGAGAGACTCGGAGAGATGTGGAGAGAGAGAGAGAGTTTTGAAAGGGATGAAGGAAGAGAGGAGAGAGGGAAGTATAAAGCAGAAAAAGGGAGAGCGGACGAAGAGAGAGAGGTGGAAAAGATGGAGAGACTAAAGAGAAAGAAGGTGAGGGGAGAGAGAGAGAGAGGGGAGGAGAGAAAGAGCAAGAGATGCTGTGAAAGAAAAAGAGGGGAAGAGGATAGATTCATAAAGAGAGATAGAGAAAGGACAGAGAGAGAGAGAGAGAGAGAGGAATACAGGATAGAAGAGAGAGAGTGACACAGAGACATAAATGATAGAGAGAGGAAGGAGGGAGAGGAGAGAGTGAGAGAAGAGAAGAAAGAGAAAACAGACAGAGAAGAGGTGAGAGGGTAAGAAGAAGAGAAAGACGGAGAGACTAAAGAGAGAGAGAGAGAAATGAGGGAGAGAGACGAAAGATATAAAGTGACTCAGAGAGAGGGATGAGAAACATGGAGAGAGAGAGATAGAGAGAGAGAGTTGGAT